GATGTGGTCACATTACCAAAATTTTGGAGAAATTTTGCAGAAAAATAAGATCATTTGTCTATATACCTTAGCCAGGGTAGCACCATATTTAGGATTTAATTTTTTACGAGTCTATGAGGGATAGGAGTGCAATGTGTTCAATGTATTGTACTGTTATTTAACAAACCAAGCAGCTTTCTGTTGTTCAGAGCAGCAAATTACTATCTATCAATCAACTATCCAAACGTGATGTGAAATCTGAGTAGGGAAATCTTTCGCCCTCACGCAAAATTCCTTATTGTGTGGATTCTTATTGAAATGACTAATACTGAAATGGTAAATGTGTCTGCACCTTAACACATAAAGGTGCAACATTATCAGCATCTTTACCTGCATAGTGCAGCGGTGCGTCTTTATCCAGGGCGAACAGAGGTGGGTTGAGGAGGACAGTGTTGTCGTTTTCCATGACGATCCCTTGGTACTCCGTTTCGATCCATGGCTTGTGTTTATTGGCTGAGAAAGAACAATCACAAAAGCAAGGGACAGGCGTGAGAGCCACAGGAACAAGCTGTGATTCGGAACAAACAGCTTTTTTTTTTAACAAGACTATTTATAACACGGCGTTATGAAGGTGAGTGAGTAGAGGTTCAAAGACGAACACCAGCAGTCCAAGCCAAAGGAATTTGCAACAAATAAAAAAAAGTTGTGCTAAAATACGTTAGTGGCAGATGGTGCAATGGTTCAACCAGCTGTACATATGCATAACACTTGCACATTAAGTTACAAACATACCCATATGGGGATCGACTGAAACTGTGTGATGGTCACACAACACAACACACACACACACAGCACGCCACGCCACGCCTCGCTGCTTTGCAGAGTAATTAGGTGTAGAGATGTTTGGCCTGATCGCACACCGTGAGGTATATTGCGCCTATCACTTAAAAACAGACAGATAGCTTCTCTTAGAATGCTTGGAGAAAGACGGAACCATGCAAACCTACATTAAACACCCTGAAAATTAGAAACCCCTACTGGCCCGGGGTTGTTCTGGCTTGTGCTGCATTGCCACAATAATTTTTACATTCATTAGCTTGTACATTCCATTTTTATGCCTTGCAACTTAAACATTGGTTTGCTGTGATGTATTTTTGCATTGTTGCTACAAATTTTGTTGATTTGTCACTGAGATCACGTTATCTAGCTGGCTAACTTATGCCCGGTTCAGACTACACGATTTTAGCTCGATTTTGCCACAATTTGCTTGACGTAGGGTGTCGTGGGGATTCGTAAACGACAATGGGCATCAGGACGCAAGATTCCATCGTTTCAGCTCGTGTAGTGTGTCATAGTGGACGACAACCGATTCCGCGTCTGCGATGCTTCACAACATCACGACAGAAAGACTAGCATGTTTAATTTTTTTTCTGTCACATTGGTGACGTAGAATTATGAGATAAGAAAAATGCTGGCGAACTATAGCGGAAGCGCTTCAGCAATGTTTACACTCTTGTTTCCGGAAGTCAGTCGCTAGTTCCGCCTTCTCGATGACATCATGCGCGTCGTTAAAGATCAGTAAAATAAAAAAAAACAAATTAAGACTTATTCAGCACAGACACATTAAGCTGATTCAAAGTGACAGTAAAGACGTTTACATTCTAAAAAAAAACTATATTTTATTTTTAATAAATGCTACTGTTTTAAACTTTATATTGAGCAAACATCAACCCTAACATCAAATTTAATTTAAATAAAAAAATATTTTTCGACAACAAAATTAAGCTTGTAATGATTTCTGAAGGAATATGTTACACTGAAGACTACAGTTTGCCATCACAGGAATAAATGACATTTTAAAATATATTAAAATAGAAAAATGCTTACTGTTTTTACTGTATATTTGGAAAAAATGCAGCTTTGGTGAGCATAACAGACTTCTTTCATAAACATTCAAAAAATCTTTCTGACCCCATACATTTGAATAGTGAATATTTATATATTAAATACCAGTATGAATGTAAAAAACATCAATTTGTTTAAACAACTTATATGAAAAATGTATAAATATTTCTAGCAAAATACATATAGCTAACAAATAACAATCAATCATTCTTTTGCCCTGGTGCCAGTTAAAACGTTGGCAAGGTGCGTAAAAATCATAACTTCTAATCCTTATTACTGAGCCCTGTTTCATAAAAACGATTTAAATCTCTTGTCATATGATAGCCTACTATACTACTAGACAGTGTGCTGACCACTAACTCAATGCAGCAATCTTTTTCATGTGTGGCTACATGCCGTCCACCTCGCTCTCATATTTCAAGTCAATCTGTCTTTTTTTGCCATTTATCCACCTATCCCTCTCTCTCCCTCCCACCCTCCCACGTTCCTCCCTCTCATCCCTCACTCAGCCATATAACATTAATCTGAGCATCAGAGCACTGGATTACTCCCCGGATTACGGACTGAGCGACAACGCTGTGCATCTCACTCCATTTATCACACGTGCCACTTTCCCACACTGACCGGAGCATTTTGAACGACTCCGTCAACAGCTGTGACAGAGGATAGAAAGATCAACGCATGTCTGTGATCCCACAGAGAAAAGTTAGCCGTAAATTAAGAAATATAGCATCTCCGGTTTCCCACGTGTGTAAAAATAGCAGAGACGAGAATAGATAAGCTTTCACCCTTTTTCTTCAAGGACAAGAGTCGACCTCTTACTCCCCCTCTCTTTTTCACAGAGATCCTACAGTATATATAATATATATCAGCATCCTTTCTGTCCTTCTCCAAATTTTGCTGTCCCACCATCATCTAGTCGCTCTCTTGTCATTCCATCACTTTCTTCATCATGTTGTCTCTTCCCATGCCACCTTGAGATGCGGCCTACCTTTTGTGATCTCTACAAAATCTACTGTTGTCATTCATAAAGGAGGAACACATTTATTAACTGACACGATTTCATACTCAACATCCGTAACATACAGCCAAACGGATTGAGTTTCTGGTTTAAATGAAATGTATGTGCATGCCAGAGCTGCGAACAGATATGTTAATACACTCATTTGCACTTAATCATCGACACAATGCTCAGTATCAACATTCAAAAGGATGGAGGAGACTGACCTTTGTTGCCATGGGCAACCGAAGTCAAGCAAAAGAGGAGAAAGGAGAGAAAACTCATTCTGGCCATCTGAGGGAGGAAGGAGGGGAAGGACAGAGGGAAATAACATGCATTAACCTGCTATGAAGCAGTTTAAGATAGAGGACAGAGGAGAAACAGAGAAGCGCAAAGACAGAGACAGAGAGACAGACATATTTCCTTGCCTGCATTTCCTTAAACGTAAACATTAAAAAGGGGTCATATGATGCGATTTCAAGTTTTCCTTTCTCTTTGGAGTGTTACAAGCTGATTGTGCATAGATAAGATCCCTGAAGTTGCAAAGACTAAAGTCTCAAATACTCCGCTCTAGGTAAATGTGAATATGATATGCAATACCCTTGACATCATTTTCGTGGCCTAGTATGGCCGAGGAGGTCTGGCTCCCATTTGAGATACAGTATGTCGACTATTATATAGCCTGCTGTATTTACTAGTGACAATCAATGCTCAATAAAACCTTGGTATTAAGCGAATTGAGTGCGCGTGAAATTGAGAAGTCTGCGCATCCTCGCTCACACGCGCATGCAGGTGTATCCTCGCGAATGTAGCACATAGGCAGGTTTGTTAACAGAATATCAAATGTGTTTCATCAAGACGCTTGTCCTCGAATAACATCTGATCTGAAAAGATTGATATAGGCTATGTCATTTACTTACATTAGTATTTTTATAAATATAAAGCTTAATATCTTCCAACTTGGATGACGGACAGATACGTGATATAACCTACTGGTGTTTACAACGCGACATTAAAACGACCGGTGTTATAGCTCACTCATACATCTCACACATATATGCGACAAACACAAATCGATTTTTAAGCCTGTAAATGAATTCAAGCGACCCAAAATTCGCCATATCATGTAATTAATTTTTCAAAGCAGAGAGCCGTTTAGATGATATAGCACCTGTGTCACGCGCAAGAATTGAATTATAAATATAATTTTGGGATCAAATGTACGTTACCGTGAGGTGTGCGATGGTACCCCGCTCAGTCTCCTCTAAGCATCCGTCACACACTCACACACCTATGACAGCCTGATGCCCGCCGACACACCGAACGCAACGGCTGGGACCTCCGGTGCCTCCCGAAACGACTCGAACTGCGGAAAGGAGCCAAACTAGAATTTGAAGATTAGATACGAAGAAACCTATGCCCCCGTTTTCGGTGGATGCCGTGAGAAAAAAGAGACGGTGTGATATATCTCCTCCCTCTCGCAGTTTCTTAACCCGCCCACACTGCGTCTCTCTCGCTCGCAGGACTCGCCCCCGGTGAAACGCGAATTTACCAATCCTACTGCGACTAGGGCTTGCTTATTAATATTAATTAGGCAACCCTCCGCCATTGGAAAGTAACGACGCAGCTCATTAATATTCATTACCCAGGCAGCGTTCATTGGAGAACAATAGCGTAATTACATAACGATAGATAATATGCAACAACCAAATCGTCGCTATAGGTAGCCACCAAGCGAGATTAACATAATCTACTTAATATTAATGAGCTAAGCATTGTTTATAGTAGGAAACGTATTTGTTCCTCCCGTTTAGCGGTCTCGAAGTCAGCGAGATGGCTGGCTGTGTGATACATCTGGGCTTGGAGGGAAGCGTCAGGAGACTGATGTGTACTACTGCTCATCGTCAAACCACACATTTACTTCTCACTTCGAGTTTGTAATGAATGTCATTTGTGAATGCGTTTGAACTCCTCACGCTCACAATCTGTGCTTCAGCTCTAGGGCCCAGACTGCAAGATGACGTCATATCGGCTCCCACAGCAGACAGATATAAAACCCTGACACCACAATTCAAAAACACCAGAACACACTCCAGCAGACTTTGTTAAAATCCAGCATTTTTAATGAGTATTACAAAAAGACGGTTTTGTTTAAAAGTAGTTGTTTTCTCTCTCTCTCTCTTTTGTACATTTGGTAGCAATAAGGCAGTAGTTGTTTCCCAAAAACAATTTTTACATCCATAAAATTTCCAACCACATGTATAAATATTACAAAACAACTTTGATGCTACAGTGAGAGAGGCAGTGAATCTGGGTGCAGGTTGTAGCCCTCACTGAAGAGTCTGTATGTGTATTTGTACCAAGGATCTTCAATATGTCATGTCATACAAAACTGATACAAAGGCAAATATGCATAGGAATTATTGAGAGCAGATCCTGATGTGCGATGAGAAATACGCACCCACACTTTTTAAGGATTTAACACAGCAGTTTTTAATAGTGCCATTGGTGTGCACAATTTACTAAAATACTTGTTATAATTTAAATACTCTGCTCTTAATAATACTGACACAAATTTACCATCATATTCATGATTCTGGTTAGTAGCGTTTATGTTACTGTCGTTTCTGTTTCACTTGTGCTCATACGCTGGACAAAAAGATTTGTTGGAGAAAAATGGAGTGAAAGAGAAAAGGTCAGATGGATGGACAGACAGTGTTAAATGGAGTGAGAGGATGGAATGACAGAATGATGATCCTTTTATGAAAGTGCCAAAAAAGCTATACAAAATGTAGTTACCATAAAACCCATTCTTAAAAAAAGAAGAATGCCCATCAGAAGTTGTCTGGTCACAAGAAAAAATGGTTATAAAAATGAAAAACATTCATTTGTAATGCCAGGCGATGCTCAGTCACTGTTTACTGCATTTTTTCACATTTCATTGCCTTTTTAGGGTAAGTGAGGTTGAAATATTCCTAGCAAAGGAAAATAAAACATCTCATTTGTTTCCATCTTTGAAATGCGTGCTCTGCGTCCCCTCTAAAAGTGCACACGTGACCCCAGTTCTCTGATTAGACAGGAAACAGGAAATGAGATCATTACTAAGTAATGAGTGCAATGGTATGAGCAGACACAGTGTAATTATTTTTAGCCACCAAACATCAGGAAATCTTATTTCACAAATATTGAACCTCAGAAATGCTTGTATTTCTGCAGCTTTTAACCTTTTTCATTACAGTCCACCCAAAGAATGCCAAAAACTTTCCAACGGACTAACATTTGTACACACACACCAGTCCGGTATGTAAATAGTAATATATTACTAAAGGCCTTAAAATTTGTCCTCTTCAGGCGCTCTTTAAAAGTCACAGTTCACTTCAGTCAAACCTGTGTAAGAGAAAGAGGAAAAAAGTTGATCATTTTACATCTTCACACAGTCACATCTAAAGCACTTTCAGTAAGAGACTGCTAAAGAATCTGCTTCTCAAATCCAAAAAAAGTGGCGCAAACAAATAAATAGATGTTCTACAAAGACCTGGATGAATGAAACACTGCAGCAGAGGGATGATACACATTTCCTACTGGATTTAAATGGCTTATGGTAACACTGATCCTAACTGAATCATCAGTCATGATCTAATGAAGTATGATTATGCTGCTTATAAGTCCTCCAGGGAAGATACATGTTGGAAAGCCATTATTAAGATGTGGGGTACGGGTTCAAGTGATTTGCGTCAGAATAAAAAGCACACGGCAACTGCTTATTTCTCTTTGCCACTTCTAGGAGTTTTTTTTAGTGCTAGTGGAATTAAAGAAAGAACGAAAGATGTGCATTATGTACACGATTTTATTGCTCTTTTAGATATTTAACTTTATCTTAACTTTATCCAAACTACACAAAATATGTACAAACTTAATTGTATTTTATAATTAAGCTCTGCTCAAAACATCACGTTTGAGGTTAGATCAGAATTCAAGAATATTTGCAAGGTTTGGAAGAACAGTGTGCTGAATTTTTCATGCTTTTGTTTACATTTGTTTTTTTAAATGATAAGTTATGACTTTTTGCACTAGCAACATGCAGTAACATAGATCAAATGATGTACACTACCGTTCAAAAGTTTGGGGTCATTTCTCATTTAGAATCAATTTCAAAGATATGCTTTTTATTGATCAATGAATCCTGAAGAAAAAAACATAATGGTTTTGACACAAATATTAAGTAGCACAACTGTTTTCAACATTAATAATAATAAATGTTTCACCAAATCAGCACATTAGAATGATTTCTGCAGTCTTTAGGATCACATGAAATAAATACCATATAAACTGGGCAAAGAATATTTTGAGTTTCCAACTTGCAATTATGTAATTGTGAAGGTGTTCATATGAGCACTGATATGCCAGCATTAGATTCCACAGGAAAGAATAGATGTGACACTCACTCAGAAAAACAGTGAGAACAGACAGGTGGTACAAACAGTAGAGTTTAGAAGAGCGAGATGCTACATTTACCATTTTAATTAATCCTCCTTTTTCTCACTGCCTCTTTTTCGAGGCACGAACACCTTGCGGAGGTATGGCAGGACGAGAAAGGCAATGAAGAAAAAGATGTGACCAGAGAAATATATAGAGGAGTACACCTGGAAAACAAAAGCATTTCAAATGTAAATGACACTAGCAAACACTTGGATGGATACAGGAGGTAAAGATCATGAACATCCCACTTTCAACATCAGATTCATGATGCTGAGGAATAAGAACACACCTTGAGCCACTTGTCGTACGTGAAGAGGCAGAATGGCACCAGAGGGTATCCCATAAAGAGCCAGTGAATTAACTGCTGTACTACATATACAAATGGATACAGATGACTCTGAGCAATAGATGTCAGCAAAGGACTGTCCCGCACCAGTGTCTCAGCCTGCAAAAACATTTACAAAACAGTTTTAGCCACTTTCTAAAGCCTTTGTCTAACAGCATGTGTCCACTTTTGCAGAAGAAATGCTCTATATGCTATTCAAGTTGTATGAATTAACATTAACTTATGCTTTAAGAGTAAACAATGAACAATGCTATATTAATAAATGGACCTTTTTCACATTTCTGGGGTTCCCAGAAATGAAAGTCGTCATTGTTGGGGAAACTTCTATAGTGGTAAACGAAAATAAAACAAATATTTTGTGTGTTCTCATTTGCCCCAATAGCAAAGGAAAACACAAACTATAGCGTAAAAAATGTACATTACTTTTTTTTTTTAAATGAAAATATAAAAAAGCGGCTAGATTTACAATGTTGAAACACATCACAGTCTGTGAAAAGGGTCCATTAACATTAACCTAGATTAATAAATGTTGCTTGCTTTGCTTCCCTGTATGAGCCTGTCACTCAGTTCCCATAAAAAATCAAGTGAAAACACTTCGCTCCACTCACTCCGCACCGGTGGACACATACCACAAGTAAACATACACAATGTTTCAATCTCGCCTAGAGCCAGAGTTCACTGAACAATATTACATTACAACTCGTTTTCTTTTTCTCCTGAGAAGGTAAATGATCAAGCTCTACCATCAGCATTCATCAAAAAAATGTGTTTTGTCTCAGACAGGAAATGTAATTTGTAAAATATTCCATCGACTTTCATTTAATGTCTACTGATGTCTCACATTTTCTGACGTGAGCACTATTTGTCATTTTCAAAACAGGACTGTGAGATGCTTCCTCATATACTCACAGCTGTCTGCAACCTGTAAGATTGCGTTTTACAAGCAAACTACTTGCAACAACTGCAATTCTTAGGTACCATACTGTCTTTGCCAGCTGAATCTCACCATCTGTTTCTATGTTTGAAAATGCAGTTTAGTACCTCAATCACTCATCTCAATTGGCGTCAATAAGATTTTTTTTAAAAGAAATTAACACTTTTATTCAGAAAAAATGCATTGAATTGATCAGTAAAGTGACAGTAAAGACGCGTATAATGCTACAAATTATTACTATTTTAAATACATGTTGTTCAACAAAGAATCCTGAATAAAAATGTGTCATGGTTTCCACAGAAATATTAAGAAGCACAAATGTTTCTTGAGCAGCAAATAAGCATATCTGAATGATTTCTGAAGGATCATGTGACACTGAAGACTGGAGTATTGATGCTGAAAATTCAGCTTTGCCATCGAAGGAATAAATTATATTTCACAATATATTAAAACAGAAAACAGTTATTTTAAATTGTAATAATATTTCACAATATTATGGTTTTAATGTATTTACTAAATGCAAACTTCAACAATCTTTCCAACCCACTTATGAATAGAAGTGTGTGTATGTATGTATGTGTGCATATATATATATATATATATATATATGTACACACACACACACACACTCGGTGTAAGCTGTTCAAGATGCATTTAATATTTGAAAACCTTACTAGTGATCTATAAGTATTCTACAATGCAGTTAGTTTTGCTCCATCCCTTACATAAGAGCAAGACTATAAATCCTTAAATTCTTAGTGTGTTACTAATCTCAGAAACACTGTCTCTTCAAAGCTGTAAACTTTCAGATCTGCCTTCGCTTGGCATGAAAGTATGTGACTCAAAGACTTCAGTCTTCTTGATTCTAAACAACTTCACGCCTCATGTCTGGTATAGCAATGTTGCCATGGTTACCTGTCTCTCCACATTGACAATGATGAACTCCAAGGAGAAGCAGATGAGGTACCCTGAGTGCAAGCCGTGCCAGACCGCCAGGAATAACAATGTGAACATTTGAGATAACAACTTGTTACCCAAAAACCTCAGCCTCTTAAACACTTGCCTGTATTAAAGAACAAGGGTGGAAAGAAAAGAGAAATTAAGAGAAAATTAATTGACACATACATTTAAAAAAAAAAGATTTTGAAAGACTCTGATTGCAATAAATGTCAAAAGCATGTGCATACCTGGCAACCCAAGCATTTGTGTTGATGTTGAAGGAATTGATGGTTCCTGTGAAGAGCGGTGTGGTCTCAAATAGCCACAGCCTCACATTTGCACAGGCATCCCATTGGTGCTCCCCTTTTTCGTTCTTCCCATTATAGCCCAGCCCAGAGAGTATACACACACCTTCCTAAGTATAAATATATCAATATAAATATATGAGAGAGAAATCTGCATTCAGTAGGTGCGTCCCGAATTGCGTACTTCTGTACTACTATTCTATGATGCTTTGTAGTGTAAATAGTGAGAGTAGTGCGTTCACACTGAAATTTCCAAAAGAAAAAGTGCACTTAAATAACCGAAAAAATGAAGTGTGGAATGTTGGACACTTCATGCATTCAACTGTCGCAGCTTTAATTATGTTGCGAAGGGGGAGGGGCTATCATACTCAATGACAAAATAACCTTGTAAAATTCATACACTACATGGTTGAGTACATAGTGCATAAGTACATACTGTATACGTGCATAGTGTATAATGCGTCATTTGGGATGCAGTTAGTGATTTTGGACACTGAAGTCACACATATTTAGGGCCCTATGATTTCCGTGATGCTGAATCACGGAATCCAGTCACAAAAACGGAATTTGTCAAATTTTAAATGAATTAATCAAAAGTAGACCATTACACTTAAATCAAATCGTGATATGGACTAGTATCTGTATATATTAAGCCGCAAAAAGACTATTTAAATATGAATCCTGTATGTTCTGTGTGTCTCTGTGAACGAATGGCGCAGACGCGCGGTTTAGTTTACTACACACACACTGAACCGCGCATGATGCTCGCGGTGATTTCAGCGTCTCCACCGTCTCTATAAATGAGGACATAATTACATGAACAACATCTCCAGAACTGCTCTGAGAGTCACTTCCTGAGCATTTTACCGTTTCATTTAAAACTAGCCTCATATCATACATACACAGAAATGTAAATTTAGAATCTGGTAACAATAAAACATATGGTGGCAAAAAATAAAACCGGGCCCTAAACATGTAACTTTTGTTAAACTTTTAATAAAGTGATATGAAATTATGCAAGTTTCATGATTTTAATTAGTTAGACATGCTTTTGATTAATAAAATTCAATTTAACCATTAAAAAAGGAGTCCAGAAAAATGGAAACGGGTAAAAAACTGAATCCAGAAAAAAATAAAACTGAATCCAGAAAAATTAAAATGGATTCATAGGGCCCTACACATAAAAAAAAAAATCATCAAAATATTTTATTTGAAATCATTACACAGATAACAGCAGACTGTTTAAAATGTTAAGATTTAAATTTATTTAT